CGGATTTGCTGGGTATCGATCAACTGCATGCAGAAAACTGCCAAATATGGAAGGGGAAATTCCCAGTACACATTCCACGTGACTTCTCTAGGTGAAACGTAGAGCAGAACAGCATTTCTTTACGTTACGGGAACGCGAAGAAAGTTCGCGTGATTCTTTGCGTCGCGTTCCCAAAACGTAGAGCAGAACCTCCCTAATAACTAGTATTTTCATCGCTATAGCGAGGACGACGCCGATCGGCAAACTGTCGCTCACAGCCAACACCAGCCTCTCAAAACCATCACTTGGCATCCCCCAGAGGTATAGGAGAAAGCCAAAACAGCTCACAACAAACAAAAGCTAAGGACGATGGAAAGAGAGCATGTCAAAAAGAAGACGAACAGTATGAAGTTCAAATGGGTTTGAACACTCGTACCACCAACTATACCACTTTCAATAAATCGTGACGCCATTTTGTTTTAACACGCATACGGTCCACTGAGTGTGTCATTAAAGTAAAAAAGTAAATTATCGTATCCGTTCCCGAAGGGAACTCACGACGGCCGCTAACACCCGATAAACCCTAGCGGCAGATGCAGCGCCTAACGGTGGGGGTGAGTGGGTAAGTCTCACAACCACTGGCACAAGTGCCGAAAGCGACCCCATTAGCTGCATCCATGTACCCCTTGTGCCTGGCCACAAGTTCCCAGTTGACTGTGGGTAGCAGCACGGCTGGAAAAACCGCTCCCAGGCAGGACTTGAACCAGGTACCTCTCGTATCTCAATCATGGTCTTTGACCAACCCACTGTGCCTGCCTGAGTGTGTCATTGCTGACCATCAATTTGTTTTCAATTTGTTTTCCACTTGTTCCAGTCGTTTTCCTCTAGTCTCCTCAGTTGCCGAGGAGCATTATCATATGCCATAGTAGCCTTTCCACAGTCGTATTCCTGGGAACGTACTGCCAAATTCATTATGGCCTTCACTCCTGACCAGCAGCGGTCTCTTGCTGAGATGATTTCGGCTTCGGTCTCGTCGGCTTTGTCAGCCCACTCCGCATCTCGAGGACCGGGTCGGGGAGCGTCTGATGGGCCATCAGACCAAGCCAGTATGTATTTGAATTCTGCCCGTTCTGAGATGCCGGCCAGTTTAGATTCTGCCCCACATTCCCTGCATGCGTATGTCATGTGAGTAACGAAGCCACTGCAAAAAATTGCAAGGTCGAGTTGTTTGATCTGGCGCTCCTACTTCCCGCCAAGTACGAGAGGCCCTCTAACGATCAGCCTCTTTCTAAGCGGGTCAAATTAGCCGAGGACGGCGATTGCTTGTTGATCTTCGCCTCTCAAGCCTCCAAGAGGCGAATTGACTCCTTAGCTTCGTGGCTGGAAGCATGGTCTATCTTCACGATCATAGCTACTTTCTAACGACCCGGCCTGCGCTGCTAGCTTGGCAGAACACCAGCTACGTATTGTGCAAGCCGCAGCAAAGTACCGCCTGGCTGCGGTGCTTGAGTATGACATCTGGGTTCGGCAATCGGTGGCTCGTGCACGCACCCCGCTTTCATCGCTTGACACGGCGCTCTACACAGAGTGTTTCATGGGCCAGGTACTGCCCACGTGTTGCAAGTGCCGGAAGGTGGGCCACCTGGCCAACACTTGTCTTTTTCGTGGCTCCGACAGCTGGACGCTGCATGCCACCCCGGGCGCAACAGGTGGAGGAAGTGTCCGGGACAGTCCACCATCTGCCGCAAGTTCAATGCGGGCAACTGCTCCTTCAATCAATGCTGCTTCAAGCACTGCTGTTCCTTCTGCTCTGGCACCCACCCGTCCAAGGAATGCCCAGCCAGAAAGTAGCTCCATGAGTACTCCTTCCTCCCATCTTCCTTTATCTGCACATAAACCCCACACGCCCATCATTATTAGCTCACAAACAACTGAGCGCTTCTGCGTGACCCGGTATAGTCAAAGCCCCCTGACTTTGAGCTCTATACCAATGCTTCCGGGCTGGGATTCGGAGGTTTCTTTCAGAGTGCCTGGTTTTGCCAAGAATGGGGTCCGGAGCACCAGCACGGACGGCCCTTTCTCCTCTATCATGTGGCGGGAGATGTATCCCATTGTTTCGGCCGCGGAATTGTGGGGCCCGCAGTGGCAGACGAAGAAGATCCTCCTCCATTGCGACACTCAAGCTGTCGCAACAGCATGGGAATCGGGCTCATGCCGGAATCTGGAGGTCATGAATCTCATACAGACCACCCTGCGTATTGCGGCACGCTACAACTTCATCCTGTTGATCCGTCACATCGCAGGTATCGACAACAGTATTGCGGACGCCCTCTCCCGTCTACAGCTCAGTTGCTTCCGCTCGCTAGCTCCGTCTGCCAATCCGGACCCAGTTCCACTGCCAACTCAGATCGTCTGATGATGTCTCCCAATTATATTCACAGCCCCATGGGGTGTCCGTTTTCTGTGTCTGGTCTTCGCCGTCACTACACTGACTTATTGTTATTTTGTCTGCCATACCAACTACACCGAAACCAATTTCTCACTTCAACTTCTCCCTTACTATTCGCCCACCCTTTAGCACGGGCGGCTCTCCTCCCCCCCCCCCCCCCCCCCCCGCTTCGCTGTTCTCTTTTGGAAGGAAGTGGCTATGCAGCGCTCATATAGTGCAATCTTGCAAAAACCAAAAATTTGCTGTCAACGGTCATAGGCGTATTGGCATCGTGGTATTGCTATGCCCCTATTTCAGGGTAGCCGCATATATGCCCCCAAGCCACATTGAAAGCATGGCACCGTGATGCCTCGTAATGCTTTTAAAGTTGAGTACTGGGATACTCATTGCACTCAGACTGGCACCGGGATGCCTATGCGAGCGATAATTATGTGGGCCGGCACCAAGATGGCCTTAGCGTGAATGCGTACACGTTACACTCTGGGCTTGATGCGCGGCTAAGTGATGCATTCTTAACTTTTTACGGCAATTCACATTTAATTGCGCGGAACTAAAACAAGCAGTAGGGGGCCAAGTTGCCCACAGCCATAAGCGAGCACCGGGATGCTTTAACACCCAGACGGGCACCGGGTTGCCCGTAACAATACTAAGGAGAGCACCGGGATGCATATGTGAGCGGGTTGCGTTGTAAGGCGCACCGGGATGCCTATAATTGTTAGTCAAGCGGTAAGCTGGCACCGGGATGCCTATAATTGTTAGTCAAGCGGTAAGCTGGCACCGGGATGCCTATAATTGTTAGTCAAGCGGTAAGCGGGCACCGGGATGCCCATAATAATTTTAAGCGGTAAGCGAGCACCGGGATGCTTATCACACCTGGACAGACACCGGGTTACACGTAATAATATGTCCGGCACCGGGATGCCTACACGGATGGGCAGGTAGTGAAAGGGATACCTAAAATGCCCATATTTAGTACAGCTGGCACCAGGATGCTCTAAATACGCAAACTGGCGACGGACGCTGATGATTGTAAGGCGAGCACCGGGATGCTCAAACGCGTCCAAACCGGTGCATTAATACCGGGATGCTTCAGTAAATAAATACGCATCGCAAGCAACCAGTTAGTTTGCTTTCAAAGTCATTGTACTGTCCCTCCAGGAAATCGCGATTCCACGGGTGCAACAAATTTCGCGATTTTGGCCCAAACCCGCGATTTTCAGCAAAACCTGCGTTTGTTGTCGTTTCCTGCGTTTGTTGTAGTTTTCTGCACTATATCTCACATTTTTATGCACTTTTCACGCAGTTCTTTCCATGATGCTGTAGGTTATTTGCGCAGTACGACTCCCGACGACCCGAGTAGATATACGATGCAACAAATTTCGTGATTTGGCCCAAATCCGCAATATTCTGCAAATAATTCCGCGAATTCCTAGCAAGTTCTGCATCACTCCTCACTTTTCGTCGCATTTTTGTTACTTTCTGCCGCAATTTCTTGCGCAAGTTTTCGAGAGTTTTTTCCGCAAATTCCCGCAGGGACAGATTGTAGCTGGGCACAGCGATGCGATGGTTGGTCATGTTCTGCTCTTCGTACTGGCTTAACTGCTTGCTTATTATCCACTGCGTTTGGTGCTGCCACCGTGTCCCCACATTGCAGATGGGTGGGGTCGCTGCCCACATAAGTGCCAGGGAGTGGGCGGATACAGGTGCCCCGTTCTTTGCCTTCCGCGAGGGGCGCCACCTAACCCCGAGCGACGTAAACGCCATTCTCAAGAGGGCTCTCGGCCCAGGGGTTTCAAGCCATTCTCTGCGGATCGGTGGTGCTACGGCCATGGCCGAACGACAGGCCCCAGAATGACAAATTCAAGCGGCAGGGCGCTGGTCAAGCTTTGCGTACAAGGCGTACGTCCGTGTCTCGTCGGGCATGCCAGCGTATCAGCAGACAGAGCTAGCGTAGAGAGCAGTTCGAAGCTTCACGGGGTTCATGTGCCTAAGTTGCATTCAAGTTACGGCCCTGCGTCCGCGGCCACCCACTTCCTTTCTTGGAGGCATGAGGGGTTGGCGGTCAATCGCCTGCCCGCAGCTTCGGGCGAACACATGACACCGGGTTGTCATAGCAAAATGCCCCCAGAGGTGGCCGGGCACCGGGTTGCCCAGGGTGACCGCGGCCCACAACTTCAAAATGTTTCTCACCTTATCACGATTCTCTTGTTCCCTGATCATTGCTTTGGAACAGCATCACTCTTTGCTCTCAGATGTTTCAAAATTTGATTCGAATGATTTATAAATTTCGGGCACATGAAACCCCTCCAAAAAATACCAATCGTGATCAGTTGTTGTGTGGAGTGATAGTTGAACAATTTTTTACAATGAGCCTGCGCTGCACAGTAAAACTCCCCAGACGCGGGCAGGTTGGGACCAAGCGCTTGAAAAGCAAATTTTTGTGACTCTAGATAGGTCAGAAAGGTGCCTGGTAGACGGACGTGCCCGGATCTAGGGAGTTTTACTGTTTTTTGGGACTGACCACGAGCATGCCGCCCAGTGCTGGAGTCGCCACACATTGACGGCTTAGAGATCTGGTAGTGAGGAGACTTTCAAACATGCGAATTTTCAATAAAACAATCCAGCTGCCTTAAGGTTTTTGCAGAGATTGCTCAAGTAACTGCTGAGATAACACAATCAGAGAAGTTGCATCATCGAAGAGATACATCAATTGTAGGGGAAATGGAGGGGAGATTGTAAAAGTGCAAAGTGAAATTTGCATTATAATAGTAGCAGGAATAAAATAAGTTCGAAAAGAAAGGGCCGGCCTATAAAAATCTTTCATATAAAACAAATCTGTATTCATTGGTTTGAGGGAAAGACGCAAACGAGAAAAGTCTGAGGACAAATTTAAATTGTGATATTGAAAACTATAATTTATTATGGCAATGAACATCTTTACAGAGGAAGTTTGAAAACAGGCAAGCCTAGAGACGACATAGACTAGTAGAAGAAGCGCAGGCCAGCCCAGCCCGTTCGCAGTCAACGGACACCAAATCATGTTACGGCAGACAAAGCGCTTTCCTCCAGAACTCCACACCGACTAACACCGTGCAGCTATACGTGATAACACAAAGCAAACCGCTGAAAGGACAGTTATTCCTAAGCACACGTTGCACACCTCAGTGTAGCACATTTCCTTCAACTGTGGTGGCAAGCGCACGTGGCGAGAACCGGACGCATTCTCTCGGTGTTTACTGAGTGAGCGCAACACGTTCACCCGGCAGTGCCAAGCATGCTGTGTACACCCACCATTGTGCACGGACGCGCGCGCGCGGGCGGGCATGCTCAGGAACGCTTACATGGGCTCGAATTGAGAAATTGCCGGATAATCGTGAGCTCACACGAATAAACTGCACACACACACGCCCACGCGCGCGTGCACACACACACACACACCACACACACACACACACACACAAATAACTAGCAGCACTTCTCACATTCAGACCAGTGATTTCCAAACACGGACCTCACTGCGCAAAAACCAGTCCATGCTGTCTCCTCATTTCCTCCTGTAGCTTGTCGAAGAGGACCGTGTTTGAGCCGATGGCACTTCGCGCAACGTCCCAGCTGTCGAGAAGGCCTCGTTTGCTGTTGATACCACGCGACTGCAGTGTCTGTGCCATCGTTAGTAACCTGTTCTTGTTGAAGCCGTAGCTTGACAACGTCTTGCTGAGCATGATGTCTAACGGGGTGGAATCCGTGATGGCTGCCGAGCAAACACGTATATAAACACGCACAGATGCATATACACATACACATGCACAAAATCCAGGGCTTCAGAGTTCGGCAATAGGACATGCACATTCCACCCGAAATATCCAGGACAGCCTGCTCACTCACATACACGTACACCCCCCCCCCCACCCCACCCTCACACACACATGCACACACACATGCACACACACATGCACACACACACATGCACACACACATGCACACACACACATGCACACACACATGCACGCGGATATTTTTAATTTTCACGGTTCGCGTGAGACTCGGCTGAAAGCCGGGCTTTCCGCATCCGTAGGAACGCCACCACCCTTCAAGGATCAAGGCGCAGATACAGCTCCTAAAGCGGTGGGAGATGAGAAGATCAGCTCACCAGCAAGTGGTCAAAGACCGAAAATCCCATTCACTGCATCCGCGGATAGCGGCAATGCAAACACAAGACAGCACCGATCTTCTGGGACAACAAACAGGACATATTGCACTTACTTGCGTCTTCCCTCTGCTGCTTCTCAAGTTGCTGGCGGCGAAGGATGAACAGTTCAGCATGGTTTGTGACAACAGAGAGTATTTCCAGTGCTTCAAGCTGCATGGAATCAGAATACTGACGCTCTGTACACGGAAAAGACAAACACACGCATGTACGCACCCACGTATGCGTGCACATGCACGCGCACGCACGCGCGCACACAAACACATGCACATATGTGTGTGCACACGAATGCATACACGAACACATGAACACACAGACGCAGACAGACGCAGACACACACATATGCACATACACACACACACGCACACACACACACACACACCACATCACACAAGAAATATGTACAGTGTCAAGCACTACACCAAAAGAAGAGGATAGTTTGTACCTTCTTGGCTGCACCAGTACATCAGTACAGCAGTGCACCAGTACAGCAGTACAGCAGTGCAGCAGTACAGCAGTACAGCAGTACAGCAGTGCAGCAGTACAGCAGTGCAGCAGTGCAGCAGTGCAGCAGTACAGCAGTACAGCAGTACAGCAGTGCACCAGTACAGCAGTACAGCAGTACAGCAGTATAGCAGTAAAGCAGTGCACCAGTACAGCAGTACAGCAGTACACCAGTACAGCAGTACAGCAGTATCGTACGGAGTGTACTGTATAAGTAGAAATTTTCGTTCACGATATCTTTCCTTAGATCACTCCACCAGCAGGTTCGTTACGTACTGAGTTTCGTTTTTGGTCGAGGTCTCTCATCTCGAACGTTCAGAAAAAAAACTT